TTAATCAATTAAATTAAATGAGGTGTAACCAAGATTTGATATCTTAATGTAAACGGCCCCATTACAATCAACAAATATAGATTTTAGATTACTATATATATATATATATACTGGACAATGATTGTCATATTATTTGATTCAACAAACTTATAAATAAATTATTATTTTTAAATTTGAATTCATAACAAAAAAAATTTAACTATAAAATTTAGGATCCATTTGGTATAGGGGTTTGAAGGTAGTGGTGAGTGATTTTGCTCAAACGTCTAAGAATAGGTATTTGGTAAACTTATTTATTTCAAAACTGCTATAAATTAAGCGTATAATAAAACTTTTTATTTAGCAGTTTCGGATTAGCAGATAACTGTTAGGGTCCAAACTGTTAGTGGATTAAAAAAGTTATCTAAAATAACTTTTTATACCAAATTACTAGCAGATTAGAATTTTTTAATTTTGTTGACAAATTTATCCTTTTTAATTTTTAAATTTTTCACTATATTTTTTAATTAGTACTTATCTAATTAGTTTCAACTTTATTTTTTTATCCTTAATAATATTAAGTAATTATTATATTTTTATTTTTTTTCATTAATTTATCATAAAAGTTTATTAACTTAATAAACAAAATTTTCTAATTAGACAAAAAGATTAAAATTTTTATACTTTATTTAAAATTAATATAATTTTTTCTTTATTAAAAATAAAATTAGTGTATGATCACATTATTATAATTTATTTTTTTTTCAAAATTAATAATTTTAATAATGAAAATATTAAAAAAATACATATAATTGTTTTTAAACATGTCTTTATTAATCATTTAATTTAAACTAACAATCGCTAATTATTGTTTAATAAAATAGTTATATTAATTGAACTCGTTATCTATTATTCACTATCTGTTTTTTACTTTCCGCTATTCATTATCCATTATCCGCTAACTGTCACTCGCCACCCGCCACCCATTACTACTATTCCCTATTTGCTATTTGCTACATGTTTTCTGCTATCCGTTAAATTTTTAATCGCTATACCAAACAAGTCCTTAATGGCTAAACCGATGTGTTAATTGATGTATTAAACTAAAATGTGTACAATTATTTTCCATATATATTATGAAGATATGCATGTTTAGTATTTATATGACAGTAAGATTTCGTAAAATATTTGACATATTTATTTTAAATTATAAGGAAATATATTTTCACCTATTAACATACTAAAGTTGCATGAATCATGTAGGGTCTTTTCTGACATTTGTTTAATTTGATCATATTGGAATGAAATAAATAATAAGTTTAGTTCATCAATCACACATTTTTTTTTAATAATAAAATATAATTTTATTTATTTAAAATACAAAAGGTATACCAATCCATTCATCAATTACATCCTTATCACACGCTAATAACTATACCCCTCCACAACCCCACTTTCTTTCCCACATTTTTCTCACTTACTTTATCTCATGCCTTTAGATCTATCATTTAATTTGCAAGTGAGATTGCGGAGCCCTTATTTTTAGCTTTTATCCATTCCCATGATCTAATTTGGATAATTTCAAACACCCTTACAGCTTCTAGTTCTTTCTCCTTTAATACATGATTGTTTCTAGACAAACATAAGAACCAAACACAAGCAAACCATATCACCTCCCACCCTTCTATTCATCAATCACAATTAAAAAAGTTCAGTTCATCAATCCTAAATTAATACTACTGTCACAGATAATTAACAATCCGTGTCTCAAAGTCCAAACCTGAATAAAATACGAAAGGTCCAAGGTCCATGATTAATAAGGGGCAGGAAGGAATACAAAGAAAAAATTGAGTCCTCATGATTAATTACAATGGATTACATAATACTATAATGAATTCTTATTAATTATTAAGTCTTCCACGTACGGTCCAATTGTCAAAAGTCTTCTACGATCCAAAAGTTGGCAATTGTTGACGAAGAGCAATGCATTGGACTGGACGAATACGGAACTTCTCATGCACCAGCTAGCAGTATGAGTTTGTCTACTGTCATATCAATTACCATCCTAAAAAATTTGTCAAACACAACAACAGGTGAAACGCCCGAATCGTCTCACACTTGAAATCATTTCTTTATTGTTTACAATACATTCAACAGAAATTTCAGAGTAAAGAAAGTATAGAACAAATGTTACAAGTCACAATATATTTCTCTGCATGCAGTAATATATATATATATTTTAGATGAATTAAAATTTTATTATAAAATTGAGTACAAGGGGTACTCTCCCATATACATGATTAGGAAGAAGGAAAAAGGGGAAAGGTTAAGTCTCCTTAGAGCACAGCATTGGAAATTGACACCAATCTCCAAAGGAAAATGCAGCAGAGGTGGAGATCCCTTTAATCCATTCAAAAGTTTTTGACTGAACAAGATCAGCAAGGTTGTTTTCATCCCATGTCATGGATTTGAAAATCACGCCATTCCTAGAGTACCAGATGAGCCATGCAGTTGCTAAAACAATAGGGATCCAACAGTTTCGTGCCTTTTTTGAGTCAGGAAGTGAACAGAGTTGAAGAATAAGCAAGGAGGCATTATTAGGAGGGACGAATGAGAACCCCCACCAAAGACAGATTTTGCTCCATAGTAGCTGGACCTTCTTGCATTTAGCAAAGAGATGGTTAACATCCTCCATTTGGGCACCGCAGAAAACACAATTTGTGTTGGACAAATCATCAATGCCTCGAAGGATTAGATTCTCCTTAGAGGGGAGGCGATTGAGAAGAAGACGCCAGATAAGAACACTGACTTTGGGGGGAACATACAGATTCCATATTAGTTTGCAGTAGCTATCATCAAGGCAGGGGTTTGAGTCATCAAGGAATATGTATGCCTTTTTTGTTGTGTATCCCGAAGCACAGTGTCTCCATATAAAATGGTCAAGTTGGCCGGTAGGGATGTGAACATTCCTCATGATGTCGACCAGCGTTTCAAGTTCATTTAATTCTCTTCCAAAAGGGGCCCTGGGCCATTCAAACACCAATTCCCGCTATGGGTTGGCTTTAAGTCAGCAACTGAAGAGTCCTTGCGGCTGGCAAGATTAAACAACTGAGGGAATTCAGATTTAAGTGGAGAAGTTCCAAGCCAAATGTCTTCCCAAAAACTGGTATCTGCATGCAGTAATATAACTGTGGGGCCAAATTCATGACAAACTGGTAATCTTAACACAAATAATTTGCAACCTTGAAGATAATTCAAAGACAGTCTCAACACGTTGGCAAGTCGGATGGTGACGCTAATAACTTTTCCTTCGTAGATTGGCCATTCTTTTGGCCATGAATACCGTGTCCATGGCCATACTGCATATCGGTCAAAATAGCAATCAATAAACCACACCCCAAATATTAATAATATTATTAGTAATCTAAATATTCATATTTATCCAGCCAATTTAAAGTTCTAAACGTTAATCTCTTTAGAGTTCACATTTGTTTCAATGCTGTATTAGCTACTCTCCCTTTTTTTTTTTTGACTTTTCAATTTTTTAAATATGAATTTTAGATAAAAATCTAACATTTTATATGAATAACTATTAAATTTTTTTCTTATATATATATAGTTCTTAATGAATATTTTTATTCTTAATTAAAAAAATTTTAATTATTAT